CATTTTATTAGGGGCTCATACAACTCTTATCACAATCCATACACACATCAATTGTGTAAAGCGCATTTGTACATTCATTGCCCTAGAAGGCCAGCGGTGGAATGTTATTAATCGAATTGTGTCCCTCCAGAAAGGTGTCCACTTGGCAGGGCTGTGATTCTCAGTCTTATATAATTATTTGCCATGTTGTGACCCGAAATAATCATCCTCGTGTGTGGTGAAGCCCAACCTCTGCTGTGTCAGTGGGCCAGGGTTGGAGGCAATGATGTTAATGAGACAGAGTACCATCTCCAGGAGGAGGTTGTATTTTGAACCACTCTTTTGAGCTAGACCAGAGATGAAACAAGCAAGCGGAGACCAACAGGACCTCAGTCCTACCAAGAAGAGCCAGGAGTGGACTGTTCTTTGAACCTGGAGTTCCTGAGCTGAGAACCTCCTAGACCCAAGGGAAGATTGATACAAGAGAATGAAAATCTCTCAGGGACACCAGGCTCACAAAATCTGTAGAGACATGGATCTCTTTCCAGAGCTGATAGATAGATAGCTCCCCCTCCTCCCAAGTAGCACTCTGGATTTAGACTTCTAGCCTCCTAAATTGGAGAGAATAAATTTGTGTATTAAAGCCATCAGTTTGTAGTTTTGCTGGTAGAGCAGCACCAGATCACGAAACAGAATTTTCTTAGTGAGGATTTATCCATGGAGACAGCAGACCCGAGAGACCAACTTTATACCATTCTGTGTAGGTGCTGACCTCTCCCGAGCCCCTGCCCGGTCTATGTGCTCCCCTCATTGTGCAGAAGGACTGGAACACTCATGCTCCAGGTTTCTGATTCTCTCTTGCTATTTACCCATTTGGGTCATCTTTCTTGGGACTAAAGCCACTTAATGCACACGGTTTCATACATGAGTGAAAGGAGACACTGAGTGATTCATCTTTTGCTGTCAGCCATGCCTCCAAATTCCCAACCCACTTCCTTTCTCACCAAGCCTCCTCGGGCTCACAGACAATAAAGCATTGAATGAGGTTGTTGACATTGACCTTTTGATTCCGTTGAAGACAAAGTCTTCTACCATAGTCCTGGGTGGCTCATAAGTGAAGCAGAAAACAAGCTTAGATTTCTCTTGAAATGTCTCTAAGTACAAAATAAGAATGCAACCAAAAAAAGGGGAGGGGGCTGCAATCCGCATGGTTGGCAGTTTGAAACCACCAACGGCAGTGAGTTTGGTTTGGATTTTTAGTGTCTTCTGCGGAGCTACTGGTGGTTTTGAATTGGCAGCTCTATGGCTCCCTATTGCCAGCAGGGCTCCTAACAAGGAGCAGAGGGTAAGAAATGCAAAAGGAGGATGCAGCATCACAGAAAGGCTTGAAGACCGACTTCTGAAAAACCAGACTGAAAACTCGGAGGAGGACAGTTCCACGGACACACCTAGGGGTCGCCACGTGTAGAGCTTTCTTCTCCAAACCGGTTCTGGGGTGGGACGTTTCTCCTGAGGACACACCACGCCAGAGATTTTGCCTTTGCACTTCTTAATCATACCACACCCCAGAGAAATCAGACATGGTTGGCCCATAAGTGGAAAAGAAGGGAAGTAGCTCAACCTGACTGGGAAGCTCAGAGACCTGCAATGCTCTCCCTGGGGCCTTCCCACCTTCCTTCCCCTGAGCTGACGCCTGGAAGGGGTCCTCCTCAGGAGCCCCACGAAGAAGACATCAGTTCCGAGCCTTGTCCTGCACCACAAGGCAGCGATGGACAGACCCTCCGGGGCTGTTTGGGGAAATCTGCTGGGCAGGTAGAAAGGGTTTTCTGGCCCACACTGGCCAGCTGCTGTTTCTACATGGAGCTCAAAGAGCGGAGGAAAAGTGGCAGGGTGCATTCTGTGGAAGGCCTCGGGGAAGAAGCCCTGTACACCACCTTTGCTCCTTTGCCCCCGAAAAGGCCACTTCACTGTGAGGATCACAGTGGGGTAACTTGCAGAGAAAGAGAATCTCTCTGCTTTCATTCTGGTGGCTCAAGGCAACAGCTCCTTCCCTATAGAGGCTTCTGCAGAGCCCCGTGTGCGGAGGATGGACAGGCTGTGTAAACGGTACGCACCCAGAAGCCAGCCCTACTTGTCACTGACCTTTGCTTCTTCATTCACATCCCAGGTGAAGGAAACAGCATTGTACGCAATCTCTTCGATGTTCCCAATGGTGTTAAAGCTTTCCTTGTAATCGGCTGTAACGTTCAAAGAGAAGAACAACAGGGTTTACAAAGGGTACTAGAGACTCGGTGACATATACTGAACCATCCCTTTGCAGTCGGTAAGAGCCTGTTCTTCCGGCTGTCTCGGCAGCTGTTACGGATTCGCGGTTGCTCATCTTTATACTCGAAGACTGTCAGCACCGGTGCCTCGATGACAGGGGCAGAGCTGAGTGAGCAGCGGTCTTACCTGATCTGCTTATGAGTTCCGATTTTCACGACACCATTATTACTCTTCCCTTCGGAGGTCCTCCACCACCCACAGCACCGCCTCCTCACTCATTGCAATGACTCTGATTTTGCTGGAAGCGCCTGAGTACTGTGTTGTTTTCACTTGATGCCCCGCGGAAAGAACAACACACACACACACACACACCATTTCATGAATGGGACCTAACAGACGGGTTATCAATAGCAAGCATGTTCCTTTGTGTCAGAGGATAGCGGTCCACAGGGATCCTTTTTGGGTTTTTGGTTTCTCAATGAAATGCTTGACCTCAGTCCTCATTCTTCCCGTGCCCCGCCTCTTCCAGGCATGCCCTACTCCTCACCCCACCCCTCCTCTCCTCTCTCTGCCGGCCCCTTCACCTTTCCTCCAGGCTCCTGTTCTCCAGCCTGGATGATGAGCGACTGAGCGACGTGCTCTCAGGCCAGAGCCCATGTAGCCACCAGCAGAAAGTCAAGGGTCATGAACCAACAAGGCGATGCTTGCAAGGCAATCGATCTACATCAGAAACAACCGCGATCAACAACATCTGACTGCTTCTCTGTTTTTCCTAGCTTTGTCTCCCTCTCTCCAAGACACGCAGGGTACACACTGTGGTAGCAATCGTTTTAGAATTTATGTTCCTAACAGCATCTTCAGCATCCCTCCGCACCAATCAGTAAACTAGTGCACATCGGGTTGTGTGTCCTAATTGAGTGTGCCTCTCGTAGCTCATTTAGATGCTCTCCAACACGTTGGTATCTTCAATAGTGCTTCAATCCTAAAAATACATACTTTAAAATATATATATAAATATATAGATACACTCACATGTACCTAGCTCTGTTATTAAGATACATACATTCTCAGAAGTAGAATGGTTAGGTCCCATATGAACACAGTTTGCAAACTTTGGGTTCGTTCTGTGGAATGGCTCCTGGGAGGATGAAACCCCTTCCTTGCTCACAGCAAGGGGGTCGGTGAGGGAGTTCCTGTTTCCTCAAACTGCTGCCGCTTCTTTCCAAAGTCACAGGCCAGGCCTGAGGCCCGATTGCTCTAATTTGCAATTACTTGATTGCTCATGAGGTTACGCAGTCTGTCACCCAGTTTCTGCTTCTTGGTTGCTTTCTATTCCTTCTCTTTATTTTTAAATTGTATTATCTGGTCTTGGTCTGTCTTTCTCATAAGGTACTTCAAGGGTTCTTGCTGATATTAAAGTAAACATTAAGACTCGGGAAATAAAATTTAAATGGAAGGAAAATGATTTCACATTCTACAGATAGAGAGTAGGTCTTTCTCACCATATTGGGAATGCCTTTAAATGCAAACCTGGGTCTTCAGTATGCCAATGAGGTCACAGATTTTGAGGAAAGAAGCAGGCTATTAAATTTAGCGGGTGGGGGGGTGGAATTCTCTGACTCTTCTTAACTATTCATTTAAAAAGATACTCTAGCAAGTTCATTTTGTGATTTTTAATAAGGATATATATTTACACTAAGAACTCTTTAGTCCTTTAACTGTAACCTAGAATGTTTAATGTACATCTCCCCCAACCTTAAAAATACCACTGTGGACTTCATTCAGCTTGGGGTTGTTATTCCATCCACACCTTCCCACCAGACCCCTATGCAAATGTCACTCAGTGGTGGAAGTTTGCTCATTGCTGCAAATTCCACCCCTGTCAGGGAAGCATAATGCAGTTGGCCGTCTTAGTTAGAAAATCACCCAGTGGTTCTAGTTTATTGGTACTTTGTTATCCCCTGTGGGCTTAAGTAACAGAAAAGTGTAATCTAGTCCTACACACCCTCAATAATGTTCATTGGTTTTGGATAGTTTAGTGCAATAATGAAAGAAAGGCAAAGTCAACTGAAAGTGAGATTCATCGTAATCTGAATGATCTTCCAATATTTTGCTTCCTTTTGCAATGTATTAGATGTCTTATTGTGGAAATGTGTGAATGTTCTAAAAAAGAAAAGATATTGGGGGGGGCGGGATATAGCAGCACGCAGGTCCATCATAAATAAGGAGGAAGTGTCATGGCTCGAGGTAGAAACAAGGTGCGTGGGTCACACATGTAGTGTGAGCTCAGGAACAACTGCAGGACGAAGTTTTATGTGCTTTCTCAAGGAAGGAAAAGACACTGAAACCACACAAACACACAAATACCGTCTGTGTCCCCTAACGTTCCTCAGGGTCACTGTCAGTCAGTTTCTCTCTATCCTTCACAACCAAAGTACTGAGCAAATGTTTCCCATGGGCCATGTTGTGCCGGGGCGGCAGCAGGAAATAAGACCAGCTCCCTGAAAGGTGACCCTTACAGGACGGAAGCAGACCGGAATAAAATACACAATAACCAAATGCCTAACGAGCAAGTCTTCTTTTCTATGGCAGAAACCACCCCACCCCGCCCCCCCAAAAATGATTAATGAGGCGGCCTATGACTAGGGGGCCACATTACCTTACCCATCATTATTTCTTTCAGGGCATTCATTTATTTACTTATTTATCACCAACATTTCCCATTAATTATATAGTGAGGGCAAGGACCTTGTCATAATAAACTTCCTCGGTGCTTAATAAGCTTCCTCGGTGCTTCAAATCCTACATCCTACATTGTTAAAGACACTCTCATCGAGACCCTAGACGTCAGAGTAGAACTGCCCCTTTAGGTTTCCAAGACTTTAAATCTTTACAAGAACAAACAGTCTCATCTTTCTCCCAAGAAGAGTCTGGTGGGTTCGAATGCGTGTGCTTAGCAGCTCAGGGTGTGGCCCACTGTGTCCCCAGAGTTCAACTGAGAAGTGTAGTAGACGGAAGGGTGGTCTATAAAGGTCTGTAAATAAGAGGCTAATGCCACACATCCCTCTCTAGCGATGTAAGGAAATCTATTTCCTATTCTATTTGTGCTTTCTTTTTTCGTAGCTCATCATATCTGGAATCCCTCTACCATAAGATCTTACATCTGAAGTGCGTCATCTGTGCCTGGCACAAAGTAAGCAATCAAGAAGTATTGCCAACTCAGTAGAGTTAGATGTTCACCATCATCCCTGGTCCTTCTCAAGAGACTCTCCTCCTGTTCACATTTTCCCTGCCCTTCCAGCCCCACGGGATTTTTATTATTTGGGGGTTTCGCTTTTGCTTTTTGATCTCTGAACTCCTACTTCCAAAGCCTGTGCCATCTCAGTACTCAGTCATATTATTAGACATTCTAGAAGAATGAATGTCGCTTTATTTCAGTATCAAGAAGATCATCAATGAGGTCATCTATGAGCCTCGAAGGAGGGATGAAAAGCCAGGATGCTACCAAGTCTGTCGGCTAGCACCCCATTCTGCACACGTTTCTATCAGAGAAAAATTTAGATACCAGTAGACTAGACAGAACTAAGTCTTAACCTCCTCCCTACCCTTTGTTTCTGGTCTCTACATCATTCATCCTGGTACCGCCTCTAGAGTGCCAAGGTTTTCTAGAAGACTAAACAGCTCACACACAGTGATGCTTGCAGATTTATCCAGTGCCGAAACATCAACAGATATGTCTCCCATCTCTGAGAGCTGCACTTCATGTCCTTTGATAAAAATGCCATTTGCTTAAGGATTACTATAACCCTTAGTGTAAGAAGAGAAAGTCAGATGTGGGTGTTAAGCCTGCTTTGATTTCTCTCTTCAAGAAAGATTCTCACACTCACATTTGGTAAAAGTTGCTATATGCAACTGGGAAAGGATATTGAAGCGAATTGGGTTCCGACCTGTGTCTGGAAATCATGTCACTTGAGTGAATAACTTGTTTTAGCATGCTAGCCACCACAGCTGTAATGCATGTGAGACACTTCAAAAGAATTAAACAGTGTATAATTATGAACATATTCAATTTTCAATGGATTTTTCCCCTAAAAAAAGTGAGTCAACTTAAAAAAAAAACTACATGTTTCATACTTTGGTGTGTAAATCGCTGTGCAATACTAATACTTGATGAGGAAAGTGGCTTGGATATTTCCAAAATCAGGGATAATGAAATAACACTCTTATTAGATAAAACTTAGTTCCAATGGATCCTGGGTTAAGAAGGTAGTTCTTATTCTTCTGGGTGATTTCAAGCAAAGGAGCAACTGTAAAGTACACAACTAGCTTGCGACATCATGGAGATCAGACAGGGAGTCTATCTAATGCACCCTGAAGGAATTGAGCTTTGGGGGAAGTCTCAAGAGATGGACGTTCTCCAGGGCCAGCTAGGAAGTCCCCCATGACTATAGTGTGCATGTTACCGGATTCCCATAATTTACTGGCTTACAAGGATATTCTATAACAGCCTCCCTCAAGTGCTGGCTTGCATCCACATCACCTGGAAGACTTAGATAAAATTCAAATCTCAAGGTCCACTCCTGGGGATTCTGACTCCATAGGTCTTCAATGTAACCCAAAGTTGGCATTCGCCAGCCGGTGAGCTTGCTCCCGGGCAGGAACCTCAGTTCAGGCAGCACTGAGCTGGCTGTGGGCAGCCATGGCAGGGGAGCCATTCTGAGTTGGGCCACGAACCACCTAACTCAGAATCTACGCCGGGGCAGTGAGTGAGTGATTGCTCTGCACAAAAATCACTGAGTCCTTTGGGATTTGATTTGATTCCTTTGGGGATGCATTTGATTCACCTCACATACAGCCCTAGAAAGCACCGCATCTGCCATTGGGCCCCATGCCAGCTATCAGTGAAGTCCGTAAGGCAAAGTTCTCTTCCCAAAAAATGTCGAAACATTCACATGTGAGATTGGAGCACCAC